AGCAACTTCTGAAGAAGAATCAAAAAGCATAGAATCTTATAATAATATTTTGCTGGTAGTTTCAACAGATGGAGCCAACAAAGTTTGCGAGGGAAATATTTTTAGTGCAATATAATATTTAATGAGAATATTTTGCTATGACTGCTTAAATATTCAGGTGAGCGATACAGGCCCTCTTGGGCCTCTTGTTTCCAAAAAAGTCCCCAAACTATCAGAATGTTTAGGTTTTCATAAAATCAACTCTACATAGTTGTATAACCATTATATGAAAGTTTCAACGAATTTTGCTTGTTATTGCAAAAGTATGGAGCCACCTTAAAGTTATTTTTCACAATTTGCCAATTTAGAAACCTCGACCCCAATGCCCTCTCATCCCAGGTAACACACCTCTTGTTTCTATGAGAGAATTTTACAAATTAGGCTCTTGAAATAGCTGATTGTTTAGCACAGTTTCAATTTTTTCATTACAGGGAAAGGGAAAAAAATGAGCTGAAGTCTCGGATTGATGAGTTAGAACATTACAAAATCCAGTATGAGGAACTACAGCAGGAAAACCAGGTATGTCTACCAAATACACATACATACAGACCTTATGTTGCAAAATACTAAACTATATACCAATCATACATCTAAACAACAGTCAGGTCTAAAATGATGATCTGCCTTTAATTAGCTTCGTTGTATGACTATTAGACAGGTGTGTCCTCTCTACTGTAAAATAGGCAAATTGATGATGTCTGATATACTGAACAGCAGGGGTGGTCATGTGATGCAGTGGATAATGCACTCACCTTTCACCAATGAGGTGGCTCCTGGGGTTCGGTTCCCAGATTGGACATAAAAAGGTATGGGGTCACCTGCCCGACAATGAAGGTTTTCTCTGGGTAATCTGGTTTCCTCCCACATTAAGACGCTCTGCACACTCACATCCAAGCCTACAAGAGTGATTTATGGCATATAAGCTGAAATAACTTGTTTCATTATTATCTATATAAAGTTTATATTTAGAAATAGTTGATGCTCAACCGGACAATAGGGAAATAGTTGATGCCAAACTGGACAACTGGACAATTAGTTGATGCTATCATTATCATATTAACATATTGACCTACAGTCTACAACAGAAAAAAAATGATAATGCTCTACTGCGGTGGACAGTATGAAAATTAGTTGATGCTAAACTGGACAATTGAGAAAAAATGTATGTCAATAAACAGGGCAAGAGAGAAATAGAAGATTTTTTTCTTGATGATATTCGGCAACAGGGAAATACAACTTAGGTGCTTATAATGTTGGATAGTAGTATTATGGTCACACGTGTGCACTGAGTATACATTGACTATGGTTTAAAGGCTATATGTAACTGTCAAAACCGTCATGTATAGACATTAATGCTTTGTTTTAAGAGAGATAACAAGTTTTGAAAAAAGATTCTTATTCCATTGGCATAGACTTATAAGTTGAATCGGTGGGGGAACTGGATCATGCACAAGACTACAGGAGTTGTGTCCCTTCTGCTTAAGTACTGTTGCATATTGTTTTGTAAAAGAAATTTAGTGCTATGTAGACTGGCAATCAAGATCAGTGTTAAACTCTGTTTAACTTGTATGTATGATATCTATCTGGTTTAACTCTGACTTGTATGTATGACATCTATCTGGTTTAACTCTGATATCTATCTGGTTTAACTCTGACTTGTATATATGTTATCTATCTGGTTTAAGGTCTCTGCTCTGTTTAACTCTGACTTGTATATATGATATCTATCTGGTTTAAGGTCTCTGCTCTGAGCTCCACTTTTTAGCTCAACTGGCACGAAGTGCCAAGTGAGCTTATGCCGTGGTGCAGCGTCAGTCGACCGTCGTCCGTCCGGCATCAATATTTTACTTTAAATGACTTCTTCTTAATAACCGAAAGGCCTAGGGTGATGATATTTGGCCAGAAGCAAACTGGGATGAAGGGCTACCAAGTTTGTTGAAATAAATGACCTTCATCCATTTTCAAGGTCACAGGGGTCAAATATGTTTAAAACTTTTAACAACTTCTTCTCAATAACCAAAATTCCCAGGGTGATGATATTTAGCCAGTAGCATGCTGGAATGAACGGCTACCAAGTTCGATCAAATAAATGACCTTCACCCATTTTCAAGGTAACAGGGGTCAATTGTCTTAAAAAAATCTTTAAACAACTTCTTCTGAATAACTTAGAGGCCTAGGATAATGATAGTTAGGCAGTAAAATACTAGAATAAAGGACTATTAAGTTTTGTTAAAATGAATGACATTTACCTATATTCAAGGTCACAGGGGTCAAATATGTTTAAAACATTTAAACAACTTCTTCTGAATAACCAAGAAGCCTAGGATGATGCTATTTGACCGGTAGCATGCTGTCATAGAGGGCTACTGAGTTTGTTCAAATGAATTACCTTGACTTATAGTCAAGGTCACAGGGGTCAAATATGTTTAAAACCTTTAAACAACTTCTTCTGAATAACCAAGAAGCCTAGGATGATGCTATTTGACCGGTAGCATGCTGTCATAGAGGGCTACTGAGTTTGTTCAAATGAATTACCTTGACTTATAGTCAAGGTCACAGGGGTCAAATATGTTTAAAACCTTTAAACAACTTCTTCTGAATAACCAAGCTGCCTAGGAGCATGATAGTTGGGCAGTAACATGCTGGGATGAAGGGCTACCATGTTTGTTCAAATAAATGACCTTCACCCATTTTCAAGGTCACAAGGATCAAATATGTATAAAACCTTTAAATAACCTCTCCTGAAAATCCAGAGGCATAGGCTAATGACATTTGGCCAGTGACATGCTGGGATGAAGGGCTACCAAGTTTTTTCAAATGAATTACCTTCATCTATTTTCAAGGTCACAGGGGTCAAATATGTTTAAAAACTTTAAACAACTTCTTCTCAATAACCAAAAGGCCTTGGTTGATATTTGGCCATTAACATGCTTGGATGAAGGGCTACCAAGGTTGAATGACCTTTTCTCATATTCAAGGTCACAGGGATCAAATATGTTTAAATCCTTAAATGACTTGTTCTGAATATTCAAAAGGTCCAGGGTAGTGATATTTAGCCAGAAATATGCCGGAACGGAAGGCTATAAACTTTCAAGGTCGCAGGCGTCATATGTATAAATCATTTAATAGATTCAAATGGATCGAACACAGATATTTTGCCTGTAGCTGTATATTAGTCCACTTTTAAGATTACAAGTGTGAGATTAATACCAGGTGAGCGATTCAGGCCCATTGGGCCTCTTGTTTAATAATATATCATATCTTGTCAGCCATTCTGTAATATATATGATACTGGTTTTTCAATCTAGACCATTGCCGATTATATACTGAATGAGTACAACCTCAGTAACTTTTGCATAAACAACCGAATTTGCTGCTTATGACCTGTGAACCTATTTTGTTAACCATTCATATAATAACCCTTGACATTCCAGAGGCTGCAACAAAAGGTTGACCAGCTGTACCTGGGACAAAGTGACTCCAGTCAGAAGCTGCTCAAGACAATTGAACAAAATGACAAACTCCGTCTGGAGAGCAAGAAGAAGTCTGAGCAGATTGAGAAGTTTCAGCGAGACACACGTTTCATGGAAGACCGTATACGGAACCTGGAGATCAGAGGTAAGGGGCTTATGTCACTGTAAACAGTACTATACATTATAACTTGATTAGAGGCTATTGATTACTGTTCCCGTTATGTAGCTGTATACTATAAGTTGTGACTTGATTAAAGGCTATTAATTTCCCGTTTATGTAGCTGTATACTATAAATTGTGACTTGATTAGAGGCTATTGATTACTGTCCCCTTTATGTAGCTGTGTACTATAAATTGTGATTTGAAAATAGGCTTTTGATTACTGTCCATTTTATTTAACGGTATACTATAAATTGTGATTTAATTAGAGGCTATTGATTACTGACTCCTTTATGTAGCTGTATACTATGAATTGTGATTTGATTAGAGGCTATTGATTACTGTCCCCTTTATGTAGCTGTATACTATAAATTTTGACTTGATTAGAGGCTATTGATTACTGTCCCCATTATGAAGCTGTATACTATAAATTGTGACTTGATTAGAGGCTATTGATTACTGTCCCC